CGCGCTGATGTTAAGCTAATCAAATAACATAGGGGTCAAGAGGTTAAACTGGATTTATTGACCATTGTTTTAATATATTTACGTGAATGAACTGTCTTTATTATTACAGGTAAGTCACACAGACTGTTTAGGAAAATATTTTTGCTCAACCATGTAGTTAAATCCCTAAAATGCCATCATATTTAGCTGTTAGTTGTTGGATGTTAGCTAACTAAACTAGCTAACACAGCCCATTACACTGCGTCAGACTGAAAAGATATTAAACATTTGCCCTCATCAAATGTTTTTTTTTAGTTTAATATTTGATATATTTTATTAAGCACAGTTCTTATAAATAAGCACTGTTTTCAAACACCATTATCCAGATGAGGCCTGTATTAGCTTTGAAATTTCACAAGAGATTTATAATAAACCCACATTTATTATAGTAATCAGTTGTTTTTCATCTAGGTTGATGCTGACTGAGGTTTGCTGAAGATGCTGGATGCTGATGACTTCACCTTGTCCTTGGACAGTCTGTTTTTTGAGAAACCCATTGCCCACAAGGTGTAAGTACTAAATGCAACACACTCATTTGCTGTCATCTTYCAGCTGTACTCATTTCAAACTGTGTTTAACAGCAAACCCCTGCACCAGGACACCAGTCAGTGGCAGCTGGAAGCACCGCCGCCTCTTATGCATWTTCCAGCAGCTCAGGACGTGCAAGCTGAGGCAGAGACCACCTTCCACAGTATGACATGMTCTGAGCTGAGATGAACCATTTTCTTTTAGTTTGTCAACATCTTTTTGTATTTGACTTAATGGCACCATACAAAATGTAACATTAACTGTATAGTGGTTATTACACTGAGTTAAAAGCTCTTCAAATGTTGCTTGACTTGACAAAAACTTAGTTTTGAGTTACATTCACATAATCAATACTAAATGTAGCACAGAARTTAAGGAAATTTGTATTTGGTAGTTTATTTCTTTGTTGTAACAGTGCTTCTTGGCAATAAATCTCATACCG